TGCCCATCCTTCAAGCAGAGGCATCTACACTGCAGATTCCCTGTCCTTCCTTGTATGGTTGTTAACCACCGCTATCCAATTTCTCTAAAAATCATCAAAGGAGAATGTATGAAATAAGTCCATAATTCTTAACCAATGAATGGCCCTAGTCAAGATACAGTCCCACTCAATTGTTTCTAAATGATCAATTTCATGCCATAAAGATTTCAAGGTGGAAAAATAAACCGAGACTGGCTTCTCTCCTTGCTTAAGGTTATTTACTTCAAATTTCAGCTCATAAGTCCTAGCAACATTAAGGGGTTGGGATAGGTCTCTTTCATGATATCCGAAATTTCCTTAGCTGTTTTTGCCCATAAGTTGTTTCGGCTTATATGTGGCTGCATGGAGCTGCACAACCATGTCATAACCAAATAGTTCTCCTGAACCCATTTGGCATATATTTGGTCCTCCTTGGGTGATTCCTTCACATCCCCCAACAAATAACCCAGTTTTCCTCTACCCCCAATGGCCATCATGGCTGATTGGTCCCACTCCAAGTAATTTGATCCATCAAACTTGACAGTGGTAATCTGAAAACTGTTCTCAGGCATGCTACCAGTACCACCAGCCCCCAAAAAATTTTCCCCTTGGTTCTTAAACTCCATTGCTGTCAGCCCTTTTCAGTTGATAGGTCAAAACACAACTCTTACAACTCAAATAGGCCAAAACAGCCGACCTAGAAGGTTCGGCCACCACCCAGAAAAGAGAAAACAGACTTGATAAATCTTCAGAGTGCAGAACAACCCACTCTTGAAAGCTGAACAGGTCTAAAGCAATGCCCTAGAATTGGCAACAAACAAATCTTTAGGGTTTCAGTCCTAGAAACCCTAAAATTGGTCGTACGTCAGAAGAAAACCCTAAAAAACTGAGGAGAAAACTCAAAATCTCCCAGCCACACCTCCCAGACTGATAAAAAGAAAAACTTTCTAGGTTCGATCTTAAGAAAAGATACTATCTTACCCAGAAAAAATCAGCCACCACCTTCAAACCAAGATTGGAACCCTAAAACTGAGATTGCTTCCTTTCTTCTGCTTTTTCCTGATCGCTGAACATTCTCCAAGGTTCTACAAGTCCTCGGGCATCAATTGCACACTGCCAGCAACCTCCAAGAACCAGCCGATGATCATATCTCTGCTTAAACTTCCAACCCTAGGAAGTTCTTATGTAGTTGGCCATATTAGACTATCATAAGAATTCCCAAGTTGGCTTTAATACCATGTAGTCGAATAGGACTACAATCAGTCCTAGGTTTAATGTCCAATTAACAAAGAAAGATTGAGAAAAGAGAAGATAAGAGAAGAGAAGAGAAGAAGAATTCAGAGAAGAGATTTAGAAAAGGGAGAGCCAAATAAATGCCGCCCCACTCTTACAATTTATATTAATTCTCAAATAAAAGTAAAAGGGCTGAATTACCCTTACTGCTTACATGGCAAAAATAAAAAGAAACTAATAATTATAAACTGAAATAACTACCAACTAACAACTGAAATAACTAACTGCTAACTACAGTCATACGAGCACGGTACAGTGGGGACCACATCAGTGTTCTCTACAAAGATAGACTTTTCTTATCGTCTATCAACTCCTTTTCCCCTAGCATGTGACCCTTTAAAGATGCAAGTGCCGACTTAACTTCTAAAACTGGACCTACACTCGGCCCAATTTTAACATTTAGTAGTTCCGGCCCAACCCCTTGGGCCCCCCAACAAGAGGTTGGGTCCGACCGTCCTGTCCAGATCCACCAGTCTGACCCATCGGTTCCAACATCCGGTCAAGGAATTCCCACTAGCTCACCGATTTTGAACTACCCATTTTGGCACCACATTCAACTACCTGAGCATATGACCTATCAGCAACAAGGCATATTCCTTGTTCCACATGCCTTAGAATTTCCTCTTCTTGCATTACTTTAGAGGCACCCAAACCTTGCATGCCTATTTTCGTGTAGTTTTCCAAACTTTGCAGAATTTCCAACCCCCATCTTCCATGTAATACCTGAACCTCCACCTGTTCATCCTCTACCTTGTGAGCTTCCCTCCACAGTTTGGCTTCTATGGAGGAAGCCAACCAGACCGACAAGAAGACACCATCAACTCTTATCTCTACTTTCCTGGGTATATCCTCAGGCTTAACACCACTGAGTAGCAAGGCTGCAGAATGAAGATCTCAGAAAACACCATCAAGACGGGCTTGACATATAACCGCAATTGATTCTGCTACCTCTCTGTTCCAAAGGTGAAATGGTAGCCCAAGAACATGTACTACCACTCCATCCATAATTGAGAAAACCTTGGAATTAGAGGATAGAGTGCATCTAATAATGGCAAAGGCTCCAATAATATCTGTAATAGTCAAGGCTAAAAAATCTGCTTTATTTTCAAGAAGATCGAACAGAGCTCTGCAGCTATCAAAGGACATTAGTACAAACATATTTTGTAAGATCAGTTTTTTAATCAAGATCTGAGCTACCTTCTTTCTTTTTATTTTTTTTATCAGCTAAAAGACTTTTATTGATAACAGAGAAATATTGAATTACAAAAGTTATAGGTTGCAGAATACATTAATCCAATCTGCAAACACATACAAAACAGTTACAGTTCTGCCCAGTACATGGTAGATCTATTTGCCCCCTGTTTTGCGAGGGTGTCTGCCAACCCATTTGCAGTCCTTTTGACCCACCTTGCAATTATGTCAATTTCTCTGTATATAAGTTTGAGCTTCCAAGGTTCTGATGTGATGTTTTTAGCCCAAGAAATGACCAGTAGTGAGTCTTCCTTCTATTTCTAAATCTGTTGTACCAATCTGCTCAGCCATCTTTAAACCTTGAAGTAGAGCCAGAGATTCAGCCTGTATTGAGTCACCAATACCTATTGGTCCTGAGAATAGTGACACAACTTCACCTAGATAATTTCTAATCACACCCCCTATCCCTTCCCGGGTTACCAAAGGAACTCTCATCAAAGTTTAGTTTTAGTTTGTTTAGTGCAGGTGACTTCCACTCCACTCTCACAACTTCTTTGGGTACATCTCTTTGTATGGCTTCAATGACTTCCTCCTTTAATTTACTTTTCTCAGAGAAGAGTCTTTGATTTCCTCCCATATAGTCCATACCACAGCAGCTCTTGCTGCCTTCCATGAGCACTTTCCTCTTTTCTTCTGTTGCCTCAGGAAGGAGGGGCTGAAAGGGTGAGCATAATTCAGTTAAAACCGAAATTTCGGTTTCGGTTTAACTGGTTTTTACTATTCGGTTATTTTGTAAAAACCGATTTCTTCTTCTTCTTCTTCTCTGTTTTTGATAGAACACAGAAGGCTTGACTTAATTTCGGTTTTAATCGAAATATTCGAAATAACCAAAAAAAAATTCGATTCAGTTTAATCGGTTTTTACATATTTCGGTTTCGGTTCGGTTTGCTATTTTATTAAATCGGTTTTTTGGTTTGGTTTTGAACCAAAAAAACCGAATGCTAGGAGAGCCCATCTGCATCCAAAGAAAGAACAAACAATTTCCCAGATACAAGAAACAAAAGAGCAAGATAAGAGCAAGTGGGGTAGGGTTTCACTAACCGGTTGCCTTGCTTCAATCACAAACTTGCTTGGCCAATCTCCTTTTTCTGAAACTCCAATCACCGTCGGCTTTACTACAGGATTGTGACATGGTCAAGGACTTCTACTCAATCTTTTCACCACAATTTACAGACTAGGGATCCTGCTCTAACTTCTCAGAGTTCCCTCCTGGCTTAGAACTCTCCACTTTGTCACTAAGGTTCTTCACTTGTGGTATGTTCAGTTTATGCAGATATTCACCCAAGGTCTTAACCACCATCTGCCAGCAGCTACTCTTTCTACCTTCCAGGAAGCAGACCTGTTGCTTCTTCCCCTTGTCAAAGAACTCAGAGAGGGCGTTAAAGGCACATTTTGCATTTCTTTTACTTTTGACCATATATCTTCTCCCAGCATCAATGGGAAGATCTTTCCGACTACTTGATTTTCCTTCAAAACAAGCTTTTGTAATGAAGCCTCTAAACCATTCTTTCGCCTCAACCCCTACCAACAGAACTGTTGACAGTTTGGTTCCCTAATCTTCAGACTCTGCTTCCCCTTGATCTTCCTCTCCTCGAACAAGAAATTTTTTGCTTCGAGTTTTAGAGCTCTCCTCCAGCGTACGATTGCCACAGAGTTCTCCTCCATTGCTCAAGAAGATTTATTTTTTCTCATTGCTAAAATTCTTTAAGATGATCTATGGCTCAATTAAGAATTATTCTCAGGTGGTAGAATTGAAGAAGCAGTAATGGACCTGATAACCATAAGGGTAGCCTACTGGCTTTGTCATCAGTGTCCACTGTCCAGTTATACTATTCATCAAATTCAGTCCCCTACCTTTACAGGGAGCAATGAAACTGAATTTTGATGGGTAATTATTGAATAATCAAAGACCTGAAGACCACCATGCAGAAGGAACTTTTAGAAACTTTGATGGGCAGCAGTTGCAAGTTTATTCAGATCCAGCAGGTCATGGATCCTTCCTTGGTTTGGGCTGTTTCTCTCTTTGGTGCAGGGGTATCACCTGGTTTATGCACTAGGAGTGGAACAGAGAATTCTGAATTAGCTTGGGGTACATCAGTTCCAGACTAGGCCTTGTATTTTTCTGGTTTTAGAGGGTGATTGACACAGGGTACTTGCCAAGCGTCTTTTTTCATTTTTCTCTGTTTTCTTTTTTCTGTCTTTGTTCTAACATGTATTTGTTTCTCATTTCCTTTTTTCTCCTTTCAGTTAAATTCCCTTGATCTAGTTACTGGTTAGGAAAAAAATTGTATGTTATACCAAGAACCATGTAAATAAAGCTTGAAAAAAAATATAAGAAACGGGTAAAAAATAAACAATTGCAACAAATAAAATTATAGGACTTTTTTCTCAAAAAAAAACATAGGACATTCGATTGCACAACAGGAGTGCTCTATTACCCATTTTGAGGCTCCAAAAAGTAGACAGGCAGGCCTTCTACCTTCCCAAACCAAACCTTTATTTCAGTTCCACCCCAGGAATAACTTCGATGAAATTGGAAGTACTTTACCTATCCCAGAAAACAAATATGCATCTTCAGTAAACCAAGACAAAAGTTGATAAGAATTATAAACAGCAACAAATACAAAGATACAAGTAAAGCATGAGAACAAAAAATGTAGAGATAAAGCACCATTAGGGATGGCAATTTTCCCCATTTCCCCAATCCCCACGGGACCTGGCCCTAATGAGGCAGGGATGGAGATGATTTTCCCCCCATAGGGGCAGGGATGGGAAAATTTTCATCCCCGTTGGCGGGGATGGGGAGAGAAAACCCCGCCCCATAGAGACACCTATCCCCACCCATGGGATCCCCGCTATATATATATATATATATTACACACACACACGTACATCTATATATGTATATATGTACACATACATCTATATATTAATATTTTCTAAAATATGTTTGAATCTTTTTTAGTAGGATTGTAAATTTTAATTATTTTATTTTTATTTTTTTTAATAAAATAAAAAACAAAAACAAAATGGTTGACATTATAAAAAATCACAAGTGGGGATAACCTTGTCCCCGTTGGCAGGGACAGGGATGGGGATTTTCATAGGGACGGGGATGGGGAGTGGCTCTCTGTCCCTACCCTGCCCTGTTGCCATTCCTAAGAACCATTATGGAATCATAGATGCATGTGTCAAGCAACATCAAAGGGAAAACTTTAGATGGTGGATTAATGTTTCCATCAAACTAAATAAATTCATTTGACTACTTTAATCACATGAAAGTTGATATCATTTGTATTCGTTGGGCTACTTTGACCACTCCTTGGAAAGCAATTCACAATATTATGCCCCCTTTTCTTAACTTTGTCAGGTACGATGCTTGTTTAGAGAACTCTGTTTTATTTTGGGAAGACGTTTGGGTGGTAATTCAGCTCTCAAGGACCTTTTCCCTTCACTATACTCCATCTCCTTGTTTAAGCATAAGGTTGTCTCCCACTTTCTTCCCTCCCCCTTTTTCCCTCTATCTTTGAGTTGGAATTTTGATTTTCGTAGGGGTTTAAGAGATGCTGAACTTGGTGCCATGTTGGAACTTCTTCATGTCCTACATAGTGTTTTTTTGGATCCTCTAAAGCCAGACAAGAGGATTTGGTCTCCCCACCCCAAAGGTCTCTTTACTTGTGCTTCCTTCTTAAGGTGGCAGCCTCCTTGATCAGCAAGCTCATGACCCACCTACTTAAGGTTACATCATGTTCATTGGGACTCTTAGGAGACAAAAGGGTAATAAATGAAAAAAAAATGAGCAATACAAAATCCAGTCTCTTCCCAACCATGAATAGGTGAACTGGGCAGGATGCTTTTCTATGGAACAATATACAATAGATCTAATGGGGGTTGCAAGGATTGAATAAAATACGGTTTGAAGGAGATGGAGGCAAGTTTCATGGAGACAACAAGACGGAGGAAAGCGCTGAAGGTTGAGGCTAAAGACTTCCTATTCAAAGAAATGTGGATTAATGGAAGGTGTAGGCATGTAGCTTGAAGATAAGGGAGATGCAAAAGGTCATGGTTCTAGTGGAAGGCCAAGAGATGGTTGATTGGCTCAAAGCATTTGTGTTTCAGGCTTCAGCGAAAGGGAAGCAGGTTAGATGGAAAGAAAAGGTTTCAGTGAAAAGTGAATCAGTCCTCTAAAACTGATATAAACTTGACTAAAATTAGAGAGAACAGTAGAAGAAAAGTAGAGGACAGCAGCACAAAGGAAGAAGATGGAGAAAAGAAGAGGAAGAAGAAGAAGAAGAAGAGTTCGATAATCTCCTCTCTCCCCTCTCTAATCCTTTTGTTAATCTTCATTCCTTAAGCTAATTACAAGTATGCCCTTAAGTGAGCGGCCAGCTAAGCAGGAACTTAAAGTAAGCTTATAAAAGGAAACTAGCGGGGACCCATGCGATGCACGGGATTTAGGGGGGTCTTGCTCTGCTTCGACAACCCCCCCCCCCCTTTCAACTAATATTATGCATCTTTATTCTTAATATAAAATATTTTATTAAAAATAAAGAAAAAATGAGATCCCCCCTTCCTCTTAAGGAGGCGAAAGCATTGAATCTAACCTACAGTTAAAATTCTACTAAAACACCACTTATAATTTGCAATGGATTTAATCAATCTTCCGTTAGATGACAATGGAAAATGACAATGTTAACCCTAATGTTCGTTTAAATAAATTTAATCAAAAGAAAATAAAAAAAAAACAAAAATACCATTTTTTCCCTTTACAAGACACAGGCAACCACTCAATTGGCTATATTTGGTAAATTTTGTTTTCTATTAAAAAAGAGTGTTAAGGGTATTTTTGGAATAAAAAATCATGGGCCTAATGAAAAACAAACACTCCTTAATGAAAGGTTGATTAAGTAAATAAGTTGTAAAATATATGGGAAGGTTTAAGTAAATATGTAAAACTATAAGTTGTGTTCTACTAAATGACGCTAATAGAATCACATAAGCGTATACAATTGTTTTATATTTTCAACTTTTTAAATAATTAACAATTATTCATATTTTATATACTACTTTTACTAAATTTTTTATAATACAAAAATAACAATAATTAATTTCAGTTAGGTTTATTCATCAACCCGAGTTGGTCGGTTTTCTAGTATTTTAGGTCGGCTTTGGTTCAAATATTTTCCAATTCGACCAAGTTGGATCAATTTCACTTTGGCCATTTTTAAACCAACCAAAATCAAACGACCTAACCATGGATCTTTATTAATATTTTATATTTTAAATATAATTTTTAAAGTGGGAAATTTCACATTTTTCTTAGTCTAAAATGTTTTAGATCATAAATCTAATTTTTTAATTTATTTTTTAATAATTGCACTATAATTTTTAAAATTAAATTTAATTTTTAAGTTTAAATCTTTTGAACCCACCGACCAAACCAAAAAATCGACCACGGTTTCAGCTAGCCAACTCCCCAACCTAATCAGGTCAATTTGGTTGGCCAAATAGCCTATGACCAAACCGAACAAACTCATTAACACTCATAATTTCAGTTAAATTAATAGTCTCATCTCTGATAGATAACAATAGTTTAATCCAAAATAATTATAAAAAATTTAAAGCAAAAATACACAATTATTGAAAATATATTTAATAGTCTCATCACTGATAAATAACAACAGTTTAATCTCCAATAATTATTGAAAATTTATAGCAAAAATACACAATTATTGAAAATATATTGATAATGAAAAAAACAATAATTACAAAAATACGATAAGTACTAAAAATATATTAACTTATTCAATAAATAGTATAATCTCAAATAATAGTTTAATCTCTAATAAATATTAATCAATAAGTTATAACAAAAAATCTCTAATAAATATTAATCAATAAGTTATAACAAAAATACAATAAGTACAACAAATTAAATTTGTGTCTTTGGTACCACCTTTGGAGAACAGGATGTGAGGGAATTATAGAAGGATGAAGTGGAAGAGGAGGAGGAGGAGGAGGAATACTTGAGGTAGTCATAGTGGGAGAAGAGGACAACTCAGCAGATGACTCAAAAGGAACAAGAAGAGGAACTGCTGGAGACATAGCAAAGAGCTCCTCAGGTTGCTCCTCCTCAAGAGGAACACTAAAGAAAGGAGTAGACTCAACAAATGTGACATCCCGAGAGACAAAGTGGGTGCCAATGACCAGATCAAAACATCAATATCCCTTCTATGTGGAGGTATATCCTAGAAAAACACACTTACGTGCCTTAGGTTCAAATTTGTGCCTTTGATGGCTATGAACATGTGCATAGCAAGTGCACCCAAAAACATGGAGAGGAAGAGAGAAGAGATCATCATTCAGAAAGAGAAGGCTAAAGGGGGTTTTGAAGCCAGAACCCGGGAAGGCATACAGTTAATCAAAAAGGTAGCAATACGGATAGCATCTCCCCAAAATTTACTAGGAACATGGGATGCAAAAAGGAAGATCTGGCAACCTCAACCACATGACGGTTCTTCCTTTCCACCACTCCATTCTGTTGTGGAGTGTAGGAACAAGAACTGAAAGCTAAATTACTGTAGCCGAAGTAGCAGAAAAGAGAAGAAGAAGAAGAAGAGATGCAAGAATGTCGAACTCTCACCTCAGTCGACAGTACTATTATTTATATTATGGTGTAGTACAATGATACAGGAAGTTACTAGAATGCCCCTGATTAGTGATGGGACACCCAGACAACT